GGGGGGGGGGGGGGGGGGGGGGGGGAGTTGAAGTGGATGTTTTCGCTCCCGGGTCGAAAAGATGCGTGGTTTCTGCTCTATTGGACAGCCAATCGTGTACGGCGGCCGGCGTTGGAAAGAGGGGCTGTTGATGGCGAGGCTATTTTTCGACAGCAGGGCGTCATGGCGTGCTGAGGATAACTTGTCTGGGGCTGCAGTGCTGCTGTAGTACGGGCGTTATTTTTTGTATTTCAAGGTCGTTGCAGCGCTTCAATCTTTTGCCGAGGGTAGCAGAGCGTAGCAGAGCGTAGCAGATCAACTCACGGCTTCGCTACAAGTGGGGTGTGGTGGTGAGAAAGCATCCTTTTGCGCAATTCAATGTTTCGGATGGCAGGGTGTGATGGCACGGAGTCCTCGTTCACCGGGTAAAAAAGTGGCTAGGGAGTGGGGGGAGCACTTGTTTGCATCTCCTCGAAGCGTGCCAAAACTTGCGTTTCGATCAACTGCTACTATGATCCCAGGTAAATGTGTGCCAGGCATGTGGAGCTGGGTACGGGATGCGGGCAATCACCGTTAATACCCTCTCCCTCGCGAGGTCAATGGTCTAACGACTACCGCGCATGCACGGCTACGATTACCCCCACCCCCCCCCTCTCTGACGACATGATTGCCTCCCACCCCCGTCTCTCGCCACCTCGGCGAACCCGACTTGGGAAACAGATGCGGGAGACGCGACGTGAACAGTTGGCCACCCTACGGTCCAAGTTCGAGCAGGACAAGGCGCGGGTGGCTAAGATGAAGCAGCAGCGCAAGTTTCGCCCATTCTGAAGCGCCCTCGATTCCCCTTCTTTTCGTCACCGAGATACATTCTACGGTGCCCCCCAAGGGGGCACACCTGAGAGAATCCAAGACGACGCAGCCCCAAACTGGAGTAAGGACCCGATCTGAAGGGGGGGGTCGTGCTCATGCTTTGCATTTCCTAGCTGTGAGTCCATTGACCACGCGTGCCCGACACGAAGGAATCTGGAGAGGGGGAATACTATTTACGTCCCATCGCTTCGATAAAACACAGGGAAGTTGCGTTTGCCGCCCCCAGACTGCAGTAGAGGGGAGGGCACTGGGCGACGCGGGGGGGGGACGTTCTCTTTTATGTTTTGCATGCCTTAGCGGTAAGACCATTGACCACGCGTCCTCGAGAGGACGGAGCATTGTTCCCACAGGACCGATCACCGATGGCCAATCGTTCCTTTCTACTTTGCCAAAGGTGGCTCAAAAGTGTCTTCCCTAGTCTGTCTATCCTAACGATATCCCTTCCCGCGTTCTCAACCCACCTCCTATGCCCCAGTACAGCTACCGTCCTTTCCTCTCTATTCCATGCCTCAAAACATCTCCCTGTACGTTCCATCTATTTTTCTCAGCTCANACATGTAGACCCTCCGTTTGCAGCATTTCATCTTCGTCGATGTCGAGCCCCTTCCGTATGTCCTCTACAACCTTGACCCATTCCGTGGGTTGTCTACCCCTCTTTTTTTTTCACTTCGCCTCCCATGCAATTCTCGGCAACCTCTCCTCTCCCATCCTGCACATGCGATACTGCCAGGTCAGCTTCCTCGCGTCTCTTCCCGACCGTAGGGATTGGATCCCCAATTATGCCCTGCGACTGCATTACTTGTGCGCTTGGAGCATCCTAGGATGATTTTCGCTGCTTTCATCTGCGCCGCCTCGAGTTCTTTCACTACCTTCTTATTTCCTTCCCATCCTTCTCCGGCGTACTCTAGCGGCGGTACGATTACGCTCTTCAAAACCGTCAATTTGATGCGTGTATCG